ATATATTTTATTAAAAAAAATATTTTTGACAAATTTCATAAATCCAAAAAAAAAAATTTTTGCGAAAGAAAAATTGATCAATCATTTTATTTTTACAAGTATACGCTATATATAGTACCCTCCCCCGATCACAGTACCCCCCTAGTATAGTACCCTGCAATATTTAGTAGAATGTAAAATACCCCGGGTACTATATAGAATGCTTTACGGTAAATGCTTTAGTCCATTAATTTTTTCACTTTTTCCTATTTCTAAAGAACTGCCTGTAAAATCATCTAATAATTTTTGACCTGAAGAATTTGAGAGTTTTCTTTTATTATTTTTATTATTGAATCCATTGTTATCAGTATTACGTAAAAGTATTTTAGTAAGATATTCACGAATAACTTTATTTGGTGCTATAGAACAATGATCTATACTCCAAATTTTTATCACAATAATTACACTTTGCTTTGTATTTGCCTTTTACTTTTCATCACCACGTGTAAAATGACTTTACACTGATCCTAATGGTCTTTTTTTAATGTTTTTGTAATATATGAAATTTTATTTTTATAAAAAAATTATTCAAAATTAAACAACGATGAATGATAAAAAAGAGATGATTAGTGTTTAATGAATATCAAATAAATTTATATGAAATGTTATCATATTAATTATTTTTTTTATTTATTTACTATAAATATATGCAAACAGTTGATTACTCTTTTATTTATTATATAAAAAAAAAATACAATTATAATAAAAATACAATTATAACCACTTTTTGTAGATACTGAAAGTCTACTTCAGAATTCTGAAATAAATCAAAAGTTAGTATTTTAATTATTTTTTTCTAAATAATTAAATTAAAAAAAATTAATACTTGTATACTTACTTCTCTTTGTAAGTTCTGGATTCTGGAATTCTGGATAAAATGAATCGGATGTAAGTAAGGTTAGTATTTCAATTATTTTTTTCTAAATAATAAAATTAAAATTTTTTAATACCTCTTTGTAGATTGCCGAAGTTCAGATTCTGCCACTCTGAAATTCTGGAATAAAAAGAAGGTTAGTATTTAAATTTTTTTTAAATAATTAAATTAATAAAATTAATTCTTACATTTATCTCTTTTTATAGGTTGCTGAAGCCTTCTGAATCTTAAAATCCAGGATTAAATGAATCAGATGTAAGTACTGTTTTTAAAAATATTTAAAAAAAAACTAATAATAAATTTTACCTCTTTTTGTAGATGCCTGAAAAACTCACTCCAAAATCCTGGAATAAATTAAAGGTTAGTATTTTTATTATTTTTTTTTTAAAATAATTAAATTAAATAAAAATACTTCTTTGTAGGTTGTCGAAGCTTTTAGAATCCTGAAAACCTGATTGAATGAGAATCAGAGATAAGTAATATTTTTTCTTTTTAAAAATATTATAAAAAATTAACCTTTTACTTACCTCTCTCTTTGTAGTTGTCGAAGCCTTTCAGATGCCTGGAATGGGATAAATAGTTTATAATTTAGATGGGTTTTTAAATAATCTTTCATCTAAATAAAATAAAGGTTTTGTTTTATTTTTTCTACAAAAAACAACAAATTTCTCAAAAAAAAATTTTATTTAAATTGATAAACACAGATGATTGATTATGATTAGTCTGAAGTTTTAACAAAGTTTAAACGTTTTGACGCCTATTTAAACCCGCCAAAACCTGTCAAAATGTTTAGACTTTCAACAGTTTTAGTTTTGACTTTTAACATTAGCTTATTATGATTTCATCCTGCAACTATATAGTCACAACAAATATTGCAAAATTCACCCTGAGTTGTCGATTAAATTAACTGAATCTGATCTCAACTTAAGTTCAAAATATTAAATCATTTTTTGCCTTTTTTGGCAATATCACACGATGTATTATGATAACAAAAATCTTTGGCAACAGACCAGAATAATCTATGAAAAAGGTACAGATATGATACAATTGAACAATATATATGGATATTTCATGCTCAAAGATATAGTTTGGGTCTATCATTGCATCTTGCTTAATGATATTATTAAAGAAAATCTAAATACTCTCTAAATTGACTTACCTTCCTATCAACACTAATGATTATCAGCTAATTCCTATTGGATGAGTTGTCAAAGCCATGACCTTTATTATTTCAAAATCGAAAGTCAACTACAGGAATCTACAATATATAGTATTTAATTTCAAAAATCAAGATGATCTAAAAGCTTTATAAAATGAAAATACCATTTATCTCGACTGTAAGAGACTCATATAAACTGAATCCAAAAGTAAATTCTGTTTCATTTATTCTGTACTAGACCACCGTTCAAATAATTGCAGAAAAGCACATTGAAATCCAAAGGATCGTTAAACACAAAATCTCTACCAATGATATCAGCCTGTCTAATTTAGAAACTATATTATGCTTTCTAAACCTGTCTCTAAATTAATCACCTTTGCTCACGTGACTGGTGATAAGGGCAAGGCAAATAAAAAGAATGCTAAACTAATACTTTCTAAAATCTTACCAAAACCCAATAACCAATCTAATAATGATCAAACCTTTAAAGATAATTCATTAGATGCAAACATACATACACATGATAACTATACTGATGAATCTGAATTCTTATACCTAACGCTAAAAGGATACAAACATCGTAAAGTAAACTCACATAACCAGATAAATTAGACTAATTAATTAGATGTACTTACTGGTCAACTTAGTCAGCTGTATGATAATCTTAATTTCATTAATGATAGGGTTAATTCTATGGAAGCACTTTTAAACGTTTATTATATCAAACAAAAATTATTACTGATGAATGGACACATTGGTATGAGTCTTTGAAACACATTGATCCTTTTATATATGACGATTTTATGACAATACCAAATGAGAACGAATGAAACAGCATTATTAATATATTCTTTAACAATAAAACTTCTAGACCTTTCAAAATATCGAATGAAATGTTAAGAAACTTAGAATCTGATACAAAAAAATTTTTTGAACCTTTATTTGTGAATGTTTAGTCTTCTATCTTTTACTAGATACTTGAAATGTAACTTTTGTGTATCCAGTTCTGGAGCTTAAGCCCTAGAAATATGACTTTAATAACATCAGACCTATTACACTATTGAAATGCCCAAAAAAGACGCTTATAAACTTATCAATAATAAACTGTTAAATACTTTATTTAAATATCAAGCTCTATAAGATTACAACTTTACTGGACTTTTACATCATTCAACTAAAGATCCAAATATTTAACTAAAGACCAAATATATATTTTAGATCATATAAAAAAAGATGCGTAATTTTATCTTAATCACCTTTAGATTCTGTTTCAAGACATGTCAAAGGCTTATGACAGGATCAACTTAGGAATGCTTTATAAGACACTTCTAAAACTAAAATTACTTACCAATTTTATTGAGCTAATATCATTTTTGTTTATTTTTCACTTTAATTAAGTTCTAATAGCACATGGCATTTTATCAAAATACCTTGTTCTTTCAAGTATCAATCAAAATAAGATTATTTCATTTATTTTTTAGTGTATTTACTTTGACCTGCTCTTGTATCAAGTTTAAAACACCAATCTTAGATATCATCCTCAAGTAAACATACTATTTTAACATTTTTCTGTTTCTTCTTATCACCACACCAACATTCATATTCCTGCTATATGAACAATAATCTTTGGATCAGTCAATCTAAGAAGTCTTTAAATAAATTAATAGAAATTGCCAATGAATTTTATACACTTAATTCTGTTAAAGTCAACTGGCCCAAATCTACTCTCCTGATTACCTTCAAAAATCATAATACTGTTCACTTCCAACTTTCCTCTTCACCAATCAATCTTATATTAGCTAAATTCAATTCTTCAACTAAATATCTAGGAATTTGGATTTTCATGTCACACAATAAACAGTTTATTTAACAACAGGCACACAAAGAGGTCCACACCATAGTTAAAACTATGATGTTCAAAATTTTCACTGATAAACAAATTATCTATATTTTTAACATTGTCATCTCCTCCGGTTGTTATATAAAACACAGATCACGTTCTTAGAATATTAGTTTTGTGACGAGATCATGTATTCAATACGCCGTCTCTTTAAATCTAAAATTTCCCTATCCAAAGACATACTGATATCCACTTTCCACTCTCCTCTTCTATACAATCTAAACCATCTTTTTGACGCTCAATTGTAAGATAAAACTACCGCTCTTCATAACATTTTAAATGACAAAGGGCTGATTGGACTACTACAACTACAAATTGCAGAATGGCTCACAGCATCACCTCTTTATGAATGACCTCATTATGATTCAAGACCGTTTAAAGATTGGATTCCAGCTCTTTTATCATCTATTAATAAGATAAACTTTAATTTTACCATCTACCTACTCTATGAGGATAGAGTTAAAGTTGGATCTATACCCATACATGTTAAATTCAATCAGGTAACATACAGAAAGATTATTCCAATACTTCAACTTAAAGGACTGATGTACCAATTCATTTCAGCTAATGGACAAGCCTTTTTCACCTATGCGGATACTAAAGTCTATGATAATCGAAGAACTCCAATTCGTACACCTAAAAGGTTTAGGCTTCTTGAAATTTGTTTGAATATGGATCTAATACTAGATTGCTCCCTTCAACCTCTCATTTACCACACAAACTTGACCTACCCATAACCTCTCCATCCTCTATTAAAACAAACAATATTAACAATTTTGTCATTTGCTGGCACCCTTCATTGAAATTACTGTAGCGGGTAGACTAATTAGTTATGCAAACTAGTACATCTTTATTTTTCCCAAACTCCATTCGAAAAATTTGCAAAACTTATTTTGGTGAATTTCTATCCATAATATATTGTAACTTTATACACTAAATCAGTCTTTAGCGTTAGAGTTAACCCTTCTACCTTTTCTATCTCTCCTTTTAATCGTTGATATTCGACTTTATACTTATCTAGTCGTCGTAGCGTATGGAATTATACCAAACTGAGTAATGATATAGTTCGGAGTGATGGTCATAAACCGGATAATTTTTTGCCGAAAATCTGCAATGAGGCTGATCGTCTGTGCGACATATTAAATCGAAAAGAAGTTATTGTATGCTAAAACAAACGAGAGAAAAATGTGATGGAATGTCTAGTTTTGGTACAGGGTCTACCCTATAAGTAAATGGTATCGTGAAAAGCATAAGTTATGAAGTGCTGACGACTTTGTAATTCCGAGATCTACACGGGCTGACCAACTTTGAGACATCAAGTAAACTTCGATCTATATGAAGTTAATTTTTTCCAACATAATTATGCCATAGTCTCTTCTGTAAACGATTTTACAGCTGCTCAAGAAGTATTTATGGATCCACAAAGAAGAGTTTCTAATTATTTCCCTACCTTGCGTATCAACGCTCTTATAGAAAGACCTCCTTATCTTCAAGAAAATGGTGAAAGGGGTCTTATTCACGTCCTCATATACCCAGGTAGTATTGGAAGAAAATCCCTCGGGTACTGGGCTATAGCGAATCAGAAAGGAAGGAATTTTACCAGCATACAATTTTCTAACTAGTTATTTTTTTATTCATATCATGTAACTTATTTAATTACTTTGTAGTTGTTGCTCCGGCAACGTTTTATTTCATAAATAAAGCATTAATATTATAAAAAAAAAAAAAAAGATTACAAATCATTTCTTTGGCTATACTCCGAATTAATTTCACTCTGCTAATACAGTCATATAATTGTTTCACTTCTAGATAATGGGTAAGCAAACCTCCAATCTGTCAATCTGCGAAAGAAAACCTATCCTTATTATTTATTATAATAGTCTACCCTGATTGTTTATTTTGATAGCCTACCCTTTTTTTGAAAGAATATGAGAAAAATAATTTAGCAGTTGCAGATTTTGCTTTGGATTGGTCGTGAACAGGCCACTCGTTTTACGTTGATTGTTAAGATATGGACGAGTACGAGCCATTTCTAAGGTTATTCGATACTAATTCCGAATCAATTTTTCAAGTCCGGAGAAGTGATCAAGAATTTATTGAGGCTTTACTTTTTTTAACATGGTACAAAGAACTTTATTTTGCATTTTTTGGATATTTATTACATTGTATTTGGACACAATCAAATTGACTCCTTTTCAATTAAAATAAATCCTTCGTATCTTTCTGAGAAGATTTCTCCAGTTCATCTTCTCTTAGAGTAAATACCACATCATTAAATTTTTTTTTTAACATAACATCGTCCAAAATCAAATGAATAGGGACCACAAAAGTTACCCGTTTAATAATCCATAATGTACCATCATCGTCAAATACTGGCGCACCTGAGTCTCCACATTCGCCTGTACACAGATTAAAATATGAAGAATTTCAAAGGAAGACAAAATAGAAAACTAATGATGTCTAACTTACTAAATGCTTGTCCATCAATACCGATAACTCTCAATGCAAACCTTCTTTAGATTTCCTTTTGTTTTTCTTTTTAACGACAGGAGGAAAAAAAGATACTAACATATCTTGTATCAACCCCTTTTTGAAGTGAGTTGTTCTTCCGACCTTTTGAACATTTACAAAATCAACCTTATCGCTTGATACTACGAATTTGAATATCTCTTCCAAATGGCACGTTTGGTATTATTGGAATTTCTCGATCCTTCACATTTTGTAATCAATATAATGACAATCCCCATCAGCTCCAATAAAATTATATTTCGTGACCTTAGCACATCAACTTGTATTAATCTAATAGGAAATTTATGCAATATATACTATGCCTTTTCTAGCGTTCCTGGTTAAACCACTTCGTCACCCTCTTTTCCCACTCCATGCTTTGCAGTTAATATAAAATGTCTTATTGGTTTCTGCATTATTTTGAAATAAAGCTCCAAGTGTAATTGCTTTTGGTGGTTCATTTAATTACCAATACTTATACCAGGTGTAAGGTCTTTGTGAAATGAACGGTGGTATAATACAAAAGCTTCATAGACAGAAGCCCTCAAATTCAGCCGGTAAGTCAACTTCTAATTGATCCACGAAAGCAATGATAACTTCCTTATCATCTACTAATCCCTCACACACATAAGAAAATGGAACTTTCTTTTTAAATTTCATCTGAAATCTATCTTTAACCTTATTAAGCAATCAATCTAAGACTGGAAGAATTTTACGTTTACCAAGAAGCTTCTTAGGTCCATATTTAGTTTTTTTATAGTTTTCCGCTTCCTCTTTTTCTTCTTTTTCTATGAGTATCATAATGTGTTAGAAGATAATTCTGGTTCGTTAATATTTCAAATATTTTAAATATTCTAAAGTATTAGCCTGTCGGATTTATTGTTTTGTTTTTAACATATCACTTCCCGTGTGATATTCATCCGATTTGAGAATATTCAGATAAATTATCAAATGACATTAACGTTTCCTTATTGTTAGTAAAGGTAAGAATGACCATTAATCTGATCCAAAAAAATTATGTTCAGCCAAATCTAGAAAGAACTCTAACGTTTTATAATAAGAGTGGTAAACCTTGCGTAAATTCTAGATTTTTGTAGGTTCCATTGTAAAACATTATATTTCCTTGATCAATATATTGTTCGTTATAAAGCTGTTGTAGAGATATATTTGCGGGATTCAAAGCTACAGACATAAATAACTTTTATTGAGCTTTCTTAAATGGTTAATATGGAGAGTAGATAATGACATGGGTAAACTCTTTAAGAGGTTGCTTCGCCCAGTAATCACCAATAATTCCTTCGAGCTTTTTTATATTTTTGCTCTTCACATCTGAATTAAGGTTCGAAAATTCTTCTTTATCTCTATTACCAATCCATTAACCGATCGACCTCAATATCGTTGAAAATATCATTTCCTATCCCTTTAATTTTCTCTTTAATATCCTTTTTTAAATTTTTCGACAGAATTTGTTGTGTTGTAAATTCATAATTTTCTTCACCATCCCGAAGGAGAAGTTAGTTAGCCTATTGTTATTGTATATATACGGTATATATTTATATATATATATATATATAACAGACTGCGAGTATATGTACTTTACAAAAACTAATAGCTTATCTCGAAAAAAATAAAGCGGAAAATAGTGATCTTTCCGATGAAAAAACAGCTAAAACAATTATGCCTCCAAAGAGACGTAAATCAAATAATAATTTAAAACATTATATTATTTTCAATAAAGTGACGACCCTGGTATTGAATGTACATTTTATCTTGCGTGCAAACTTTTTGCGCAAACTATATCTAATAAAATGATTATAAACATATTATTGATAAACTCCCGGAGAGCCTGGCTAAAAGATCATATTACAGACTTTTGAACCACTCTAAAGGTCCTGTCCCGTTAGAATCTATTTCCGGAAAGTCTGTTCGAATTGAATCATATTTGATACATATGAAAATCATGGATCGGAAAAAAACGCTGCGCCCTAAAAGCTGGCCCGAATGTAATTCACTCCGGTTGCATGTGTTATGACAAACCAATACTATATTTTGCAATTAAGAAGAAGAAAATAATCGCCGGGCCATGAACGAATATAAAGTGTTATACCAGCATCTGCTCGATTATAATAAAAGAAATTTCGAGAAGTTCCAACATAATTTTTATTTAGCAGTTATTTTAGTAGTCTAACTAGTTTACATATATAACCATTTGATATATTAATAAAACCTTTTAAATATAAAACTTGAAAGGATCAAGTAATTGGATAATTGAGGCTATGTAAAAGATTTATAAATGAATATGTAGATGTGATACTAATTCAACTGTAGCAGGTAAATTTAAAAATATTAGTAATATATGTAAATGGGTTAAAATTTATTACAGACCAAATTATTTTTTAACTCTTTTAAAAAATGTGCTATTTCAAATTTATTAGACGAGTATGATTTGTTCATTTATTTTAACTATATCAAAAAAATTAAAAATCCGATTATTAATTAGATTATAAAGGGTGCTTATGCTTAATTTCAAATGATTTATAATAAAAGTTATAGAGATGCTTATTTTTTTTAGTAGGTGTTTAAGGTTGTTACGGTATTCTGATTAAATTATGTTAAAAATTAAGAGTATAATGATGATAAGAAATTGACAATAATAATAAAATAAAATAAAACACATTACGGATCATATGATTTACTACTAAATTTACATGACAACGTGTTTAAGGATCACATGACGATAGTAATTACCAAATAAAGCGACGAGACGAAAGAAGAAAAAAAACGGAATACGAAAAATTTAAAAAAACGAATTTAATTTAACGACGTTTAACGGACGAACATTAACTTTACAATTTTAACGATTTTTGCCAAATTACAGATTTTTGCCTTTGCCATAAAGTAGGAAAGTGGAAAGAAGATAAATGCATTAGGGTTTTTCTTTACTGAAATGAGCATCCAAAAATCGACTGAGTAAGTGAACTAGTATTATTCTGCGAAGAAATAAACGCGTTTGGATTGCCTAGAAATAACTGTGCCTCAAACAAGGTGGTAGCATTTTGGGGAGGCATATGTGTGATCCTATTCAAATTATCAATGTTTGGGTGTTTTGGGAAGCAATGTAATAAACATCTCTTCCTTCGTTTTTCAGTAACTTTGGTTTTAAAGTTTTGAGATATTTTTTTTTTGTACATTGTTAAGGTATTTTAGTCATAATAATTGAAGGTGATTTTATACATTTTTGAAATTTCTAAATCATTATTTATTATTATTATTTTCTATTTTCTTTTTCTACGACACATAATAAGAATTATTACAATGAAAAAAAGCTAGTCCTCAGGTATTACAAGTTTCTACGAAAAATGGTCGAACAGTTTAGCAAATAAATATCTTTCTAAAATCTTGGCGGTACCATATGACCTTATAGCAAAACATTGAAATATGACGCGGTCTCTTATAAATAAATATATTACTTTTTTGATTTTCAAAATTTTGTCGTTACAGTTTTTAGAACATTTTATACGATCGACCGCGACACATAATAAGAATTTTTACAATGAACAAAAGCCAGTACTCGGGTATTACAAGTTTCTACGAAAATTGATCGAACAGTTTAGCGGAATACGGATCTTTCTAAAACCTTGGTGATACCATATGACCTTATAGCCGAACATTGAAATATGACACGATCTCTTATAAATAAATATATTACTGTTTTGATTTTCAAAATTTTGTCGTTACAGTTTTTAGAACATTTTATACGATCGACCGCGACACATAATAAGAATTTTTACAATGAAAAAAAGCCAGTCCTCGGGTATTACAAGTTTCTACGAAAAATGATCGAACATTGGTGATACCATATGACCTTATAGCCGAACATTGAAATATGACACGGTCTCTTATAAATAAATATATTACTGTTTTGATTTACAAAATTTTGTCGTTACAGTTTTTAGAACATTTTATACGATCGACCGCGACACATAATAAGAATTTTTACAATGAAA